TGGGGTGATTTGGGGCTGGGGGGGATCTTTCAGGATCAGTGTAGTGTTCTGGGGTCAGAGGGTGTTTGAGGCCAAGGGATGGGGTGATTTAGGGCTGGGGGGGATGTTTTAGGGTTGGGGATGCTTTGGGACGGTGGCGTGTTTTGGGGTCAGAGGGTGTTTGAGGCCAAGGGTGGGGTGATTTAGGGCTGGGAGAGATGTTTTGGGACCAGTGGAGTGTATCGGGACAGGTTTTTTTTGGGGTCAGAGGGTGTTTGAGGCCAAGGGTGGAGTGATTTAGGGCTGGGAGGGGTGTTTTGGAGCTGAGTGGGATGTTTTAGGGTTGGGGGTGTTTAGAGACTGGGGAGTGTTTTGGGGACTGGGGAGTGTTTTGGGGACTGGGGAGTGTTTGAGGCTGGGATGGAGTGATTTAGGGCTGGGATGATTTGGGGCTGGGGGGGATGTTTCAGGATCAGTGGAGTGTTTTGGGGTCAGAGGGTGTTTGAGGCCAAGGGTGGGGTATTTGGAACTGGGGGGGATGTTTTAGGGTTGAGAGCACTTTGGGACTGGGGAGTGTTTTGGGGTCAGAGGGTGTTTGAGGTCAGGCATGGGGTGATTTAGGGCTGGGGTGATGTTTTGGGACCGGTGGAGTGTATCGGGACAGGGTTTTTTTGGGGCTGGGGTGTGTGAGGCTGTGATGTGGTGATTTAGGGCTGAGTGGGATGTTTTGGGACCAGTCGAGTGTATTTGGACAGGGGTTTTTTGGGGTCAGAGGGCGTTTGAGGCTGGGATGGGGTGATTTAGGGCTGAGTGGAATGTTTTGGGACCAGTGCAGTGTATCGGGACAGGGTTTTTTTTGGGGCTGGGGTGTGTGAGCACATTGTCCGGTCCCTCCCGCAGTACCTGCAGATGAAGTGGCCGCTGCTGGACGTCCCTGCCGGGGCCACGCTGAAGGACAACCGCTCCCCTTCCCCTGCACACCTGGTAAGAGCACCCCCTCCCCACGGGGTTTGGGTTCCCAGCACCCCAAACCCTCGGGGAATCCACGAGTGGTTTGGGTTGGAAGGGACCGTACGGACCAAAACCACGCTCTGCTGCTGTAGTGTCTTGGGTTCCAAACTCCTCACTGCAGAAAAAAACATTCATTCCATAATGTTTTTCTCAAAAAAATTGTCTCGAGCATTGGAATGGATGGAGTCACCATCCCTGGGTGGGTTTAAAAAGAGATTGGATGTGGCACTTGGTGCCGTGGGTTGGTTGGGGTGTCAGGGCATGGGTTGGACTGGGAGATCTTGAGGGTCTCTTCCAACCCTGGGGATTCTGGGATTTTCTGTGATTTTCTATGATTTTCTGTGGTTTTCTGTGATTCTTTGATTTTCTGTGATTCTGTGATTTTCTGTGATTTTTTTGTGGTTTTCTGTGATTTTCTGTGATTCTGTGATTTTCTATGATTCTGTAATTTTCTGTGATTTTTTTTTTGTGGTTTTCGGTGACTTTCTGTGATTCCGTGATTTTCTGTGATTTTCTGCGATTCTGTCATTTTCTTTGATTCTGTGATTTTTCTGTGATTTTCTGTGATTCTGTGATTTTCTGCAATTCTGTCATTTTCCGCAATTCTTTCATTTTCTATGATTTTCTGTGATTTTCTGCAATTCTGTCATTTTCTATGATTCTAAACCGACACACATGGACAGGGACACTTTCCACTGGTTGCCCCAAGTTCCAGGAGCGCTGACCCCATGGCAGTCCCACCCTGCTGCCCATGGGGTGTTTCTGTAGGGTGGCCAGGGTGCTGCCCACGGGATGTTTGTGTAGGGTGGGCACTCTGCTGCCCACGGGGTGTTTCTGTAGGGTGCCTGCAGTGCTCCCATGGGGTGTTTCTGTAGGGTGGGCACCCTGCTGCCCTCGGGGTGTTTCTGTAGGGTGGCCACAGTCCCACCCTGCTGCCCATGGGATGTTTCTGTAGTGTTTCTGTAGGGTTTCTGTAGGGTGACTGCAGTGCTGCCCATGGGGTGTTTCTGTAGGGTGACTGCAGTGCTCCCATGGGTGTTTCTGTGGGGTGGGCACCCTGCTGCCCATGGGGTGTTTCTGTAAGGTGCAGCGCTGTCCACGGGGTGTTTCTGTAGGGTGCAGTGCTGCCCATGGGGTGTTTCTGTAGGGTGCAGTGCTGTCCACGGGGTGTTTCTGTAGGGTGCAGTGCTGCCCATGGGGTGTTTCTGTAGGATGGCCACCCTGCCCCCCATGGGGTGTTTCTGTAGGGTGGCCATGGTGCTGCCCACAGGGTGTTCCTGTAGGGTGGCCACCCTGCTGCCCTTGGGGTGTTTCTGTAGGGTGGCCATGGTGCTGCCCATGGGGTGTTTCTGTAGGGTGACTGCAGTGCTGCCCACGGGGTGTTCCTGTAGGGTGGCCGCAGTGCTCCTATGGGTGTTTCTGTAGGGTGGCTGCAGTCCCACCCTGCTGCCCACGGGGTGTTTCTGTAGGGTGGCTGCAGTCCCACCCTGCTGCCCACGGGGTGTT